GGAAGTAAAGCACTCCTCAGCAAATGTAAAAGAACAGAAATGATAACAAACTGTCTCTCAGACCACAGTGCAATCAAACTAGAACTCGGGATTAAGAAACTCACTCAAAACCGCTCAGCTACATGGAAACTGAACAACCGGCTCCTGAATGACTACTGGTTACATAACGAAATGAAGGCAGAAATAAAGATGTTCTTTGAAACCAATGAGAACAAAGACACAGCATACCAGAATCTCTGGGACACATTTAAAGCATTGTGTAGAGGGAAATTTATAGCACTACATGCCCACAAGAGAAAGCAGGAGAAATCTAAATTTGACACCCTAACATCACAATTAAAAGAACTAGAGAAGCAAGAGCAAACACATTCAAAAGCTAGCAGAAGGCAAGAAATAACTAAGATCAGAGCAGAACTGAAGGAGATAGAGACATAAAAAATCCTTCAAAAAATCAATGAATCCAGAAGCTGGTTTTTTGAAAAGATCGACAAACTTGATAGACTGCTAGCAAGACTAATAGAGAAGAATCAAATAGACACAATAAAAAATGATAAAGGGGGATATCACCACTGATCCCACAGAAATACAACTACCATCAGAGAATACTATAAACACCTCTATGCAAATAAACTAGAAAATCTAGAATAAGTGGATAAATTCCTGGACACAATACACCCTCCAAAGACTAAACCAGGAAGAAGTTGAATCCCAGAATAGACAAATAACAGGCTCTGAAATTGAGGCAACAATTAATAGCCTACCAACCAAAAAATGTCCAGGACCAGATGGATTCACAGCCGAATTCTACCAGAGGTACAAAGAGGAGCTGGTACCATTCCTTCTGAAACTATTCCAATCAATAGAAAAAGAGAGAATCCTCCCTAACTCATTTTATGAGGCTAGCATCATCCTGATACCAAAGCCTGACAGAAACACAAGAAAAAAAGAGACTTTTAGACCAATATCCCTGATGAACATTGATGCAAAAATCCTCAATAAAATACTGGCAATCCGAATCCAGCAGCACATCGAAAAGCTTATCCACCACGATCAAGTTGGCTTCATCCCTGGGATGCAAGGTTGGTTCAACATACGCAAATCAATAAATGTAATCCATCATATAAACAGAACCAAAGACAAAAACCACATGATTATCTCAATAAGATGCTGAAAAGGCCTTCGACAAAATTCAACAGCCCTTCATGCTAAAAACTCAATAAACTAGGTATTGATGGGACGTATCTCAAAATAATAAGAGCTATTTATGACAAACCCATAGCCAATATCATACTGAATGGGCAAAAACTGGAAGCATTCCCTTTGAAAACTGGCACAAGACAGGGATGCCCTCTCTCACCACTCCTATTCAACATAGTGTTGGCAGTTCTGACTAGGGCAATCAGGCAAGAGAAAGAAATAAAGGGTATTCAGTTAGGAAAAGAAGAAGTCAAATTGTCCCTGTTTGCAGATGATATGATTGTATATTTAGAAAACCCCATCGTCTCAGCCCAAAATCTCCTTAAGCTGATAAGCAACTTCAGCAAAGTCTCAGGATACAAAATCAGTGTGCAAAAATCACAAGCATTCCTATACACCAATAACAGACAGAGAGCCAAATCATGAATGAACTCCCATTCACAATTGCTTTAAAGAGAATAAAATACCTAGGAATCCAACTTACAAGGGATGTGAAGGACCTCTTCAAGTAGAACTACAAACCACTGCTCAGTGAAATAAAAGAGGACACAAACAAATGGAGGAACATTTCATGCTCATGGATAGGAAGAATCATTATTGTGAAAATGGTCATACTGCCCAAGTTAATTTATAGATTCAATGCCATCCCCATCAAGCTACCAAGGACTCTCTTCACAGAATTGGAAAAAACTGCTTTAAAGTTCATATGGCACCAAAAAAGAGCCCGCATTGCCAAGACAATCCTAAGCCAAAAGAACAAAGCTGGAGGCATCATGCTACCTGACTTCAAACTATACTACAAGGCTACAGTAACCAAAACAGCATGGTCCTGGTACCAAAACAGAGACACAGACCAATGGAACAGAATAGAGCCATCAGAAACAATACCACACATCTACAACCATCTGATCTTTGACAAACCTGACAAAAACAAGAAATGGGGAAAGGATACCCCATTTAATAAATGGTGCTGGGAAAACTGGCTAGCTGTATGTAGAAAGCTAAAACTGGATCCCTTCCTTACACCTTATACAAAAATCCTTTGGGTATATACCCAGCAATGGGATGGCTGGGTCAAGTGGTATTTCTCATTCTAGAAACTTGAGGGATCGCCACACTGTCTTCTACAATGGTTGACAGTCCCACCAACAGTGTAAAAGTGTTCCTGTTTCTCCACATCCTCTCCAGCACCTGTTGTTTCCTGACTTTTTAATGATCACCATTCTAACTGGTGTGAGATGGTATCTCATTATGGTTTTGATTTGCATTTCTCTGATGGCCAGTGATGATGAGCATTTATTCATGTGTCTGTTGGCTGCATAAGTCTCTTCTTTTGAGAAGTGTCTGTTCATATCCTTTGCCCGCTTTTTGATGGGGTTGATTTTTTCTTGTAAATTTGTTTAAGTTCTTTGTAGATTCTGGATATTAGCCTTTTGTCACATGGGTAGATTGCAAAAATTTTCTCCCATTCTGTAGGTTGCCTGTTCACTCTGATGGTAGTTTCTTTTGCTGTGCAGAAGCTCTTTAGTTTAATTAGATCCCACTTGTCAATGCTGGCTTTTGTTGTCATTGCTTTTGGTGTTTTAGTCATGAAGTCCTTGCCCATGCCTATGTCCTGAATGGTACTACCTAGGTTTTCTTCTAGGGTTTTTGTGGTTTTAGGTCTAACATTTAAGTCTTTAATCCATCTTGAATTAATTTTTGTATAAGGTGTAAGGAAGGGATCCAGTTTCAGCTTTCTACTTATGGCTAGCCAGTTTTCTCAGCACCATTTATTAAATGGGGCATCCTTTCCCCATTTCTTGTTTTTGTCAGGTTTGTCAAAGATCAGATGGTTGTAGATGTGTGGTATTATTTCCGATGGATCTGTTCTGTTCCATTGGTCTGTGTCTCTGTTTTGGTACCAGGACCATGCTGTTGTGGTTACTGTAGCCTTGTAGTATAGTTTGAAGTCAGGTGGCATGATGCCTCCAGCTTTATTCTTTTGGCTTAGGATTGTCTTGGCAATGCGGGCTCTTTTTTGGTTGCATATGAACTTTAAAGTAGTTTTTTCCAATTCTGTGAAGAGAGTCCTTGGTAGCTTGATGGGGATGGCATTGAATCTATAAATTACCTTGGCAGTATGGCCATTTTCATGATATTGATCCTCCTATCCATGAGCATGGAATGTTCCTCCATTTGTTTGTGTTCTCTTTTATTTCGTTGAGCAGTGGTTTATAGTTCTCCTTGAAGAGTTGACCCACCTATTTTTAAACAAACCTTCAATCAGAGATTTTATAAAGGTATTGGTTTAGTATATTGAACAATTAATATCATAAGTAAAAAAAACCCACAACATATAACTCTATGCCATTGACATTTTAAACTACACTGGGAGAAGCTATTTCCTTATTGGAAAAATATTTTAGGAAAGTTAATGCTGTACCCACTTCCCTTCAGTTCTGTTTTGGACTATGCTTATTGCTTTGTCTCTCTCCTCCCATTGTTAATATTCTTTAAGGGTTTTTACCCAGCTCCCAGATGTGAGTCTAATGGACACATTGCAGTCAGTACCTGCTGTTAATGCTATGCTTGGTAACAGAATGAAGAAATTTCAGTATCCTGACAGTGGACCATTGGGGTGTCCTTGAGCAGCTGCCTCTGTTGCCTTCACTTCATAGTGTCACCCTGGTTGTGGGGATAGTTGAGCATGGTATAAGGTGGGCCCCAGTTGCAGTTATACGGAGGAGAATGATCCCTCCATTTGGGAAGATAATTTTCTCACATTTTTCTCACAATAACTTCTTACTGCTTATTGGAAAAATGAGTCAATACTAGAGATACCTACTGATGACTTGGTAACTACTTAAATGCAGGCATAAAGCAATCATGACTTGAAGCCAGAGAATGCAAAACCAATCTTTTCTCACATCTGAATTCCTGTATCTTGTTTAATTAATGAGTTAGCCCAATACGTAATTAGTCACACCTTGTTAACTAGATATAACTAGATATACTGATTTAATTTAGAATTTTAATCAACCCACCCTTCTCACATTTAAATATTTACATCTTTTGTAATATCGAAGTAGTGCTATAAACACAGTTATCTTTGTAAGACGTATGTAAAGATAACTAGTTATTACTAGAACTAGACTGAGTATGTGAAGGCAGGATGCTGTCAAACACGTTTTCCTCAAATTTGACTTCATAATTCTTATTTTAAAAAAACTTGCTATAATATAGATAATATGTGGTTCCTAGTTAAGTACTTACTTAGACATATCGGAAATAACTAGAAAAATACCTGAATCTAGGATGTTGAAAAACACATTCTTTTTACATCCGAATTTAATTTCTTTTGACATAAGGTACTGGAAATATAGATAACTAGTGGTAGCTATGTAATTTTTAAGTTAGAGATACCTAAAATTAGCTAGAAAGCTACTTAAAGCCATAAAGCTGAAAAATACATGCTTTTCATCTCTAAAATATTTGTTTTTAATATTTCTTTTTGGAATGTGCATTTAGTACTAAAAATTCCTAGCATACTAAGGTAAGCTTTATTTTTATTTTTTTGAGACAGGTTCTCACTCTGTTACCCAGGATGGAGTGAAATGGCACTATCATGGTTCACTGTAACATCAAACTCCCTGGCTCAAGTGATCCTTCTGCTTCAGGCTCCCAAGCAGCTAGGACTACAGGCATACGCCACCACGCCTAGTTAATTATTTTTTATTTTTTATTTTTTTTTAGGTAGAGATGAGGTCTCACTATGTTGCTCAGGCTGATCTGGAACTCCTGGTCTCAAGCCATCCTCCCACCTTGGCCTCCCAAAGCACTGGGTTGACAGGCGTGAGCCACTGCACCCAGCCTCTAAGGTAAGCTTTATATAAAGATAACTAGATATAACCTAGTCTGGGCAACATAGGGAGAACCTATCTCTACCAAAGATTTAAAAATTAGCCATGTGTGGTGGTGTGAGCCTGTAGTCCCAGCTACTCAGGAGGCTGAGGTGGGAGGGTCAATAGAGCCTGGGAGTTAGAGGCTGCAGTGAGCTTGATGGGCTTATTGTACTCCAGCCTGGGCAACAGAGTGAGGCCATCTCAAAGGTAAATAAATAATAAAAAATAGATACAACCTGAATGACTAGTTGAAAGCAGAAAGCTAAATAACGCATTTTTCTCAATGTAACTTCTTATCATTGAAGGAATATGTTAGTAATATAGATGACTAGTGTTACTTATATAACTACTTATAGAGAAATAACTGGAAATAACTAGAAAATTAATTGAAGCCAGGATGCTGGAAAACATTTTTCTCAAGTGAAACTTATTATTTCTTCTTGAAGTTAAGTACTGGAAAGGTAGACAACTAGTGATACATAGATATCTCTAGAAATAACTGGAAAACTACTAGCTGTCCAAAAAACAACAACAAAAAAAACTATACTTCTCTGTTCTATATTTTTTGAATGCTACTACTATAAATAAGTAGTAATCAAGAGGCATTTGGTTTACTCTGGATAACTAAACATGAGCAGAATAAGTAGTTAAAGCTGGAGAACTAAAAAACACAATACAAACTTGTCCATTGTAAATTCTCCTTATCATTGGAATAGTTAATACTGTAAATGTTCAGTTGGTACCTTTGTAATTATTTACCTAGAAATAACCAGAAATAACAAGAATACCTAGTTGAAGGCAGGAAGTTGCCAGTCATGTTCTTTTCAACTCTAAATTCTCTGCTGATGAAAAGTTGATCAATCCAGGAAGTTGAAACAATATTCTTCTCAACACTACAGTCATTTCTATTGTGGATATAATGAGTTAGTGCTGTAGATAAGTATTTGTACCCAGGACACTAACTAATTGGATATAACTATTAATATGGAAATGAAGATGACGTAGGAGGCCCGCAGAACTTATTTTCCAGTCACAGGGTCACGACCCCACTGATGGAAACAGGATCGAGTCAAAACAGGATGCAGTTGGCCCAGGCTGTTGGCTCGCACCTGTAATTCCTGCACTTTAGGAGGCCAAGGTGGGCGGATCACTTGAGGCCAGGAGTTCGAGACCAGCCTGGCCAACATGGTGAAAACCCGTCACTACTGAAAATACAAAAATGAGTTGGGCGTGGTGACGGGTGCCTGTAATCCCAGCTACTCAGGAGGCTGAGGCAGAAGAATCGCTTGAACCCGGGAGGTAGAAGTTGCAGTGAGCTGCGATCACACCATTGCACTCCAGCCTCGGGACACAGTGAGACTCCCTTAAAAAAAAAAAAGAAAAGAAAAGAAAAGAAAAACAACAACAAAAACCCGAAAAACCAGGATGCAGGGAAGAAGCCATCCAAATCCAGCAGATGGCAACGAAAGCTACCTCTAGTTGTCTTCACTGCCCATTAGCAGCAAGACACTCCCAGTGTAAAGACAATTCACAACTGCCATAGCCAGGGGCCATGGCAATAGCCAGGAAGTTACCTTGTATTTTCTGGATACTCCTCACTCGTTTTCTTGAAAGTTCTCAATAACCTACCTATTGATTAGCACATAATTAAAAGTGGGTATAAATACAGCTGCCAACAGCCCATCTGCTGCTGGCTCCGGGTGCACTGCCTATGGGTTAGCGCTGTTCTGCAAGGAGCAATACTGGTTCAATAAAAGTTGCTCTGTCTCACCACCCGCTCACCCTCCATCCGGGCAAAATCCCAATTTGGCGGCTTGCCTGTCCTACGCTAGAGACAAGGAGGTGAGAAAATATTCTCATAAATACTTTCTTTTCTTTCTTTTTTCTTTCCTTTTTTCTCTTCTTTTCCTTTTCCTTCCCTTTTCTTTCCTTCTTCCTTCTTTTCTGTCCTTTCTTTCCTTTCTTCCTTCATTTCCTTCTTTTTCTTTTTTTGAGACAGCACCTCGCTGTGTTGCCTACGCTGGAGTGCAGTGATGTTTGAAAGCACAGTCTTCACAAACTCAAATTCTTATTTTTTTGTGAAATAATGAGTTTATACTACAGATATCTGGTGGTAACTATGTCAGTAGTGAAATAGATTTAACTAGAAATAACCAGAAAAAAATATGATGTCATGAAGTTGAAAAAATAATGATTTACCACTCCAACTTCTTATTTCTTCTTATTATAAAGAGTTAGTATTATAGATATCTGGTGATGTCTACTTCATTACTTACCTCAAAATAACTGGAGATAATTAAAATAAGTATTGTAATCCTGGAAGGTGATCCTGCCTCAATTTCGACTTGCACCAGACAGCTCAACCCCTTCCTCCCGCAGTCACCCTGCCCGCAGTGGGAGTGGTCAACGAAGCCGCAAAATGGATCAAAGGTCCCCACACACGCCCGACCCCTCCACTCCTCCCCATGCCCTGACCACAAATGCGTCCCTGATTTAACGGCCACGCTCGCGCTGTGAGCGCCTGCCAGTAGGGCCTTCCGCCACACACACACACCGTAAGCGCGGAGGCGCAACGCTTCATCCACGGCGCTCCCAGATGGGGTCCCAGCCCAGATCCGGCCACGAAGACACAGGTGACCCCGGCCTGGATTTCCTGTTCCATGAGCTCCAGGAAGGCGACAGTCAGTGCCTGTCTGGGGACTCAGACCGGTGCTTTGGGGAACTCTTGGAAGGGAACTTTCCTGGAGAGGGACGCGTGGACCGGACGCTGCTGCACCTCCTCTCTCAGGCTGCGGTTCTATGCTGCCCTATGCCCGCGCCAAACGCCCTGATATCTCTCTCTCTCATCTCTCTCCTCACTCAATCTCTCTTTGCCTTTCCTCCTTTCCAGATGCGAAGGCTGTAGGGACTTCGGTGATTGAAGCGGGAGGAGACAGTGAGAAGAAAATACGGCCCGAACCCGAGCAGGGAGCCGGAGCAGAAGTAGAAAGTCATGTCTGCGCGGGAGCTGCCGATCCCACGGTCAAGTAGAACCAGAAGGGCGACGGTGGCGACCAGGAGCCCTCACAGTAGCAGCCTGAGGCTTCCAGCCCAGGAGGAGCCACAACCTCAATATTAGCAGCGTCTCTTCAGCACCAGTGCATTCAGCAGGTTGCACCTGAAAGAGCTAGACAGCATTTTCCCACGCTCTGAATATCCCGTGATCGCCGGTAAGCGGCTTGCTCTGGAGCTACCTAGTTCCCAGGACGCTGGGGCACTTCCCTGGACGCCTTTGGCTCTACCCATGTCTCGTTACCACCCTCCAGTGCCAAGAGCTATTTAGGGGGCTCAAGGCCACTGGCTCAGGGCCGCTCTTGAGCTGTGGGATGCTGGCGATAGCAACTGGGTATCAAGGTATTTTTCACGCAGTATAGAAATGAATCAAGTTAAATATTTGCATTAAAAATTATTAATCTTCGGGCTGGTGTGGTGGCTTATGGCTGTAATCCCAGCACTCTGGGAGGGCAAGTCAGGAGGATCGCTTGAGTCCAGGAGTTCAGGACCAGGCTGACCAATATAGTGAGACTTCATCTCTACAAAAAATTTTGTAAAATTATCTGGGCATGTTAGCAGCATACACCCGAACTCCAAACTTGAGCTTGAAGTTCAAGGCTTCAGTGAACCATGATCCGGCCACTGCCCTCCAGCCTGTGCTACAGAGCTAGACCCTGTCTCTAAAATTAGATACATAGATAAATTACATAAATAGATGATTGATTGATTGATAGGTAGGTAGCTAGAGAGAAATCTTGAATCCTGAGTGTTTTAGCCCCCTCTTAAATTCTGCACACAAAGAACAACCATCCCTACCTAATGCAAGCCTGGGGCTAGGTATCACAGAAAAATGTGCAGGAGCAGTTGGGAGGATAGACATTTTCAAACTGTTATGAAATGCTCATAGGTGTATTTCATTTCATCCACAATCCCAAATACTGAATTTTTGTTGTTTTCTTCCCCAGAAAGCAGCTTGCAATATGCATGGATATGAGTGAAGCCAAAGTGGAAGCCAGTAAGCCTGATGAAAGCAATTGGTCAGAGTAGCCACTCTGAAACCTGCCTCAGTCCTTGGATACCTTTGTCCTACACATTCTTAAATTGGGCTGTTTTTGTTGCCTTTTCTATGTTTGCCAAGTGAGTTTTGAACTTTAGTGGGGGAGTAATGGGATACATAAACCTTAGCCTATGGAAATTTCCCATTACCAGAGGGAATATGCTTTCTAATGGAAAAAGAAAACGAAACAGAACTAAACTGTTACTTCTATTTCCTGTACAAGATTAAGTATAAATAAAGTTCCATTCCTTCTAACAATGGTATCCTTTAGAGAACACTTCTGTGTAGAGTTATATTGGGACTGAGTCTGACTTGAGGAGTTGGCAAATTAATGCACCAAGGAGCTATATTGTGAGAAGGTTCAACTGTATTTAAAATATTTAAACCAGGCTATGTTCTTAGCTAAATGACCGAATTTATAAATATTCAGGCATTGGAGTGAGGGAATAAGTTACACACAGAAAGAACACATTATATGAGTAATTAATGTATGTTTAGTTTCACTGAGACTGATGGGGAGGACATAGCTTAAAAGTCCAAGTGCCTGGTGGTCCTGCTGTTGTTTTTAAGGGTCTGATGAAGCCATGTAGAAAGTGGCAGCCCGAAATTTTGATTTTCTCAAATACTTTGATTTGTAAGCCTGAATACACTGCTAATATACTGGTATTACAGTGGGGGTGTGGGGAGGGGGCAGGTTTGCAAACTGGATATTTGTTTAAAAATTGGAATAAAAAAGAACAATTATTGAATAAGTTTTCACTCACCTAAGAAGGGTGAAAAGGTTAAAGAAAAATTGCATACACTCAAATATATACCTTGAAGATATGGCACAAATGGAGCTCTATGAGGGAATATTCTCTTTAGGAATTTCTGACAACTAAGGATTTTTTTTTTTTTTTAATGTTACTTGGTGGGTTTCATGTAATTTGTTTGGTGGTGGGGTGGGGTACGCTCAATTTAGACCAGGTTCTTACCTGTGCTAATTTGAAATGCTTTTTCAATTTCCCAGGCAGTGATGATTAATTTGTAGGTCATGAGATGAAGAAATTGCTAAGATTACTTAAGTATTATTGACCGAGTATATTTTCAAAACAAAAAGAAAATCCAGGATGAGGTTATGAGCTGTGCTGTGCAGTTCGCGTGAGTGCAGTGATGCGCCCACTCCGCCATGACCAAGCCTTTTTTTTTCAGACCATCTTTTTCACTCCCAAGAGTTTTCAGAGGATGAAGGCCAGCCCAGTGGCTCACGCCTGTAATCCCAGCAATTTGGGAGGCCAAGGCGGGCAGATCACGTGCTGTCAGGAGTTCGAGACCAGCCTGGCCAACATGGTGAAACTCCACGGTGAAAATAAAAAAATTACCTGGACTTGGTAGCGCACCAGGGTAGTCCCAGCTACTAGGTAGCATGAGACAGGTGGATCGCTTGAACCTGAGAGGCAGAGGTTGCAGTGAGCCAAGATTGTGCCACTGCACTCCAATCTGGGTGACAGAGCAAGACCCTTGTCTCAAAAAAAAAAAAAGAAAAAAAAAAGAGAGAGTTTTCAGAGGATGAATGGCCCCTTAGGTATCCTTGAGGAAACCTGATTAAAAATCCAACCTGCTCCTATTGATGTAGTTACTTCAGACTGAAGATGAGCTTTTCAAATGGGGCTGCAGTGTGCAGATATTCAGCCATTGCACTCCAGCCTGGGTGACAGAGTGAGACTCTGTCTCAAAAACAACAACAAAAAAGAAACTTTAGAAAGCAAAACCCCCAATGTTTTTGATTACTGTAGAATGCAGAAGTGCCTGGACTCCTCCCAAGATTGTGTTCATAACTTTTCAGCTGAAACTAACATTTACGAAGACCGTCTATCTTGGGTGAACCTATTTTCTGGTAACCACTGTTAAATTTTTTTAATAAATAAAAATTTTAAACTTGTATTAGAACAGTTAATTTCTCATCTTTGCCTTTTTTCCTTTTCATATGTTTATTTTTAAATCCCTTTTGAGAAATGAGATCTCAATATGTTGCCCGGGCTGGTTTTGAACTCCTGAGCTCAAGCAATCCTCTCACCTCGGTTTCCAAAAGTGCCGGGATTACAGGCCTGGGTGATCACACCTGGCCTGATTGTTGCCGTTGAAATATTTGAAGTACATTTTAACATACATGGGTTTTGTGGGATTACTTTTAAAATAACTCTTTGTTTTGAAACTTAGACTGAGTGGAAACTATTATCTAAAGCATTCTTTTTGACTATTTCCTCTGCCCCATGCCTTAATTCTTCTGGAACTTGGAAGAACTAGAGAGGCATTGAAAATAATATATATGTCGACAGGGTGCCGTGGCTCCATTCAAGCGATCCCAGGGGTGGATTGCCTGAGCCCAGGAGTTTGAGACAAGCCTGGGCAACATGGTGAAACCCCAGCTCCATTAAACATACAAAAATCAGCTGGGCATGGTGGTGCATGCCTGTAGTCCCAGCTACAGAGGAGGCTGAGGTGGGAGGATCCCTTGAGCCTGGGAGGTGGAAGTCGCAGTGAGGTGAGATCGGGCCACTGCACTCCAGCCTGGACGAGAGAGTGAGACCCTGAGTCAAAAACAAAAACAAAACAAACAAATACATACATGTCTCTTGAAGACTCCATCAGTTATGGGAAATGGTATTCACTATTCTTTTCCTGAGCATGAAAAAAATGTTCTGTTAGTGTGTGTCAAATTGAATGTTAGTGTTTACTGCAGGATTTGTGTGGAATATTTCTTTGGCTTTCAATCGCAATATGGCGAAACCATGTGCTCAACTGGGACACAGTAGAGGTCAGAACTCGGTCTGATGGTGTCCTGTGGCTTTCATTTCTATAGATTCTGTAGTTCTGTTTAGAGGGTACCTATAGCATTGAGGAAGCTGATGTTTAAAAAGAACAGGTGCCACATTGGGAAATAAATGTTGGTTTCAAACTTATCTGTTGAGGATGGCAGTGGGCATACACAGGTGCATTCCTAGATGTTTCCCAATTCAGCCAGGTGCTGGGGCCACTGGGTAGCAATAACCTCCTCTCTGTGCAGAAGTCCCACATTACATGCAACTGCTTTCCTGACATTTCATATCCATAACTGTGAAGGTCGCAGAGTGAAATAGTGGACAATACAGGGGAAAAAAAAAAAAGCAAGCATGCTTTCCTAAGAAAACAGAGCCTTGCTTTACACTGGGAACACATAAGTGCTGTGAAACTGGACTTTGATGTAACCCCTGCGAGAGGAAATTCTGATTGAACCATGGCACTTATCTTAGCAATCACTTCATAGTACAGCCTTGATGGTCACAATTAAGCACTTTTAATAGCGAACGAGAAGCCTTGCATTGCTAGAGATTGCTCAAAAGCAAAGGCTGTATTGAGAAGAACTTAATGTTTCTTGAAAAATGGGCCTGGCTTCCTTCACCTTCCCATTTTTCTTTTTGTTGTTTTCTACTGTGGTGGTTGCACAGTAAGAAGACACCATGAACAAATGACTGCCTAGTCCAGTGAATGATGAGTCTGGATCACTGCTCAGGGGACCATCTCCTTGATCTGAGTGCCAATAACCCCAAATATGCCCTTTCTATTTTTAATTAGCAGGAATTCTAGATCTCTTAAGGATGAAGAGAGCAATAAAATACATTGGACGTTGTGATTGTCCATTTTGAGTTAGGGAAGGTGTAATAATATGCCTTCTGGTCTGGGGATGGGGGAGAAAAGGGAGAACAGCCTCCTTCTGGCTTTGGTGGAGTCTCCTCTCATGATTCTTCTGAAGCAGCAGGACCTTTGGGCCAGAATGACTCCTATTCCCTTGTGTCCCCCACAAAAAGGGAGGGCAGTGGACAGAATCTGGAGCATGTTGAATCAATGCTTAGCTGTTGCCTTCCCATAAATACTGAGTAGCCACTTAGGAAGCTTCCCCTAGAGTCCGGAGTTGGGCATGAATGTTCCTATTAGCATGGATAGGTCTCTATTCTGTCTGAAAAATTGGGCAAAACTAGTTCTAAATTCACTAAAAGTCACCCGCACTAGCTCTGCAGCTCCTTTCCATCACTGCACTCACACAAACTGCAGAGCGGGGCTCATAACCTTATCCTGGATTTTGTTTTCATTTTGCAAAATTCTCTCTTAATAAAACTTAAGTAATCTTAGTAATCTTTTGATCCCATGACCTACAAATTAATCATCACTGCCTGTGAAAATGAAAAAGTATTTTAAATTAGCACAGGTAAGAATCTGGTTTAAATTGAGTGTGCCCCCCATCACCAAACAAATTTCGTAAAACCCACCTCTTTAGATAGTCTCACCAAAATAATTCCTTAGTTGTTAGAAATTCCTCAAGAGAATATTCACTCATAAAGTTCACTTTGTGCCATTTCTTCAAGGTATATATGTAAGTGTATGCCATTCTTCTTTAACCTTTTCATCCTTCTTAGGTGACTGGAACCTTATTCAAAATTGTTCTTGTTTGTTCCAATTTTCAGACAAATTTCCAGTTTGCAAACCTGTCTCCCCGCAACCGCCACTGTAATGTGTGTATATTAGCAGTGTTTTCAGGCTGACACATCGAAGTATTCCAGAAAATTAAAATTTCAGGCAGCCACTTTCTACATGTCTTCATCAGACACTTCGAAAAAACATTAGGACCACCAGGCACTTGGACTTTTAAGCTATCTCCTCCCTATCAGTCTCAGTGAAACTAAACATACATTAATTACTCATATAGTGTGTTGTCTGTGTGTGTGACTTATTCCCTTAACCCAATGCCCAAATATTTATAAACTCACTCACTGAGCCAAGAACATAGCTTGGTTTAAATATTTTAAATACAGTTGAAACTTCTCACATCCTAGCTCTTTGGTGCATTAATTTGCAAACTTTGAAGTCAGACTCAGTCCCAAGATACCTCCGCACAGAAGTATTCTCTAAAGGATACCATTGTTGGAAGGAATTGATCTTTATTTATTCTTAATTTTGTACAGGAAATAGAAGTAGCAGTTTGGTATGTATAGTTTTATTTTTCCATTAGAAAGCATATTCCTTCTGGTAATGGGTAATTTCTATAAGCTGGGGTTTCCTTATCCCATTTTTCACCCTCTAAAGTTCAGAACTCACTTCATAAACATAGAAAAGGCAACAAAAACAGGCCAACTTGAGAATGTGTAGGACAAAGTTATCCAAGGACTGAAGCATGTTTCAGAGTGGCTACTCTGACCAATTGCTTTCATCAGGCTTACTGGCTTCCACTTTGGCTTCACTCACATCCATGAATATTGTAAGCTCCTTTCTTGGGCAGAAAACCACAAACGTTCAGTATTTAAACTTTTTCAGAATTGTGAATGAAATGAAATACACTGATGAACGTTTCATACCGGTTTAGAAATGTCTATCCTCTCAACCGCTCCAGCATATTTTTCTGTGATACCTCGCCCCATGATTGCATTAGGGATGGCTGTCCTTGGTGTGCAGAATTTAAGAGAGCACTAAAACACTCAGGATTCAAGATATCTCTGTCTATCTAACTGTCCATCTATCTATTTAATTTTAGAGATAGGGTCTAGCTCTGTTGTCCAGGCTGGAGGAGGGGTGACACAATCATGGTTCACTGAACCCACGAACCCACGTAGGCTCAAGCAATCCTACAGAGTAGCTGTGACTACATGTGTGTGCCACCATGCCTGTCTAATTTTTTAAATTTTTATGTAGCGACAGAGTATCATTATATTACTCAGGCTGGTCTTGAAGGCCTGGACTCAAGTGATCCTCTCGCCTCGGCCTCCCAGAGTGTTAGGATTACAGGCGTGAGCCACCGAACCAGCCTGAAGATTAACAAATGTTAAGGCATTACTTTAAAAATCAAGACCAATGAAAAAAATCCACAGTAACCAAATTGTTAAAATGTTCAGTAAAGGCAAGATCCAACCCTGTAGGACTCGCTCTCCTCACCCTGATGTCAATCGCAATTCCAATAAAACATTTCCAAAACAGGAGTCTGGCCAAAGTTGCCTGGCTTGATTCGTTTCTATAATGCGTGAAAAAATACCTTAATGCCCAGTAGGCATCGCCCCCACCCCACAGCTCGAAGTGGCCTACTCCTGTGACCTTGAGCTCCATATGTAGCTTTTGACTCTGGAGGGGAGGGAGCGAGACTGGGGCAGAGCCAAAGGCGTCCCGGGAAGAGCCCTAGCGTCCTGGAGAATTGCGCACCTCCAGAGCAAGCCGCTTACCTAGCAAACACGTCAGGATATTGAGAGCATTGGAAAATGCTGTCTAGCTCCTTCAGGCGCAACCCACTGAATGCGCTAGGGGAGAA